ACACAAACACAAACAGGAAGTACACAACACAAACACAAACACAAATCATACAACACAAACACAAACAGGAAGTACACAACACAAACAGGAAGTACACAACACAAACAGGAAGTACACAACACAAACAGGAAGTACACACTTCTGCTTCAGAGTCAGTCTGAATCAGTCCAGTCAGGTTGTTATCTGAACACATGAAGTCCAGATGATTCATATTTACTGTATGATTGATTGATTGATTGATTGATTGATTGATTGATTGATTGATTGATCGATTGATTGATCGATTGATTGATTGAATTATTTATTAGCTGTACTGTAAAATAGCCTTATTATTTTTATATTTCATGTTACATATGAATCTTTCTCAGTCATTAGCAGACCTGATATAAGATTTAATAAATATATTGTTGTATCTACACGTGCACATGAAATAATGTGTGATAAATACCTGTGTTTATTGTTTAATTGTAGTTGTTCCACCTGCCAGCAGGGGGCGGAGTCTCTCCAACACAACGGGACTTCCTGCAGTTATCGCGAGATTTCACTGCTATAAATTTAGAGGTGGTCGTTCATTTTCTCCGAGCAGTGGTCCAAGGTTGTGGCCGTGAACAGGTGGTCTCCATCGGACAGTTGTCGTCATCCAGTCGGTCCCAGTCCAGTTCTTCATGACTTCCAGGAGCAGACCGAGCAGCAGCAGCACAGCTACCCGGTGAGTGGAGCCCAGCTCCGGCTGTTAGCCTGTTAGCATGTTAGCCTGTTAGCTTATGATCGTGTAGTTGTTCAGTTCAGGACTTCTGGTTTAGATTAAATTCATGTTTGTGTGTCCTCAACAAGAGACACGGTGTTGTGTTTGTGTGTATTGTAAAGTTTTGTCACTATCAGTAGTTTGTGTGTCGCTGTGTGTCATTGTGTGTGTCTGCCCGGCACTGCACATGCTAACGTGTTAAATCTGATGAGGTTAAACGGTTCAAACTTCAAACATGTCAATAAGTGAAACTAAACTTTAAATTAAACAAGTTCTTCAGTTGAATAAACTCTGAACAAAAGGCAGAAGTTTACATTTAACTGAACTGTATTTAATTTAACTTTAACTCTATTTAAAGTGCGGTGTTTCTGTGTGCAGAGGAAACACCTGGTCCTGCTGCAGGTGACCGGAACACACAGAACCGGTTCTGTTTGTGTTCTGTCACAAACAGAACCGGTTCTGTTTGTGTTCTGTCACAAACAGAACCGGGCTGCTGCAGGTCACCGTGTGTTGTTGTTAAACTGGTCATAAACGGTGGTTTTTATGGGACCACTGGTTGTTAATGGTGACTCTGACTGGGCTGTTGTCCTGTCCCAGCACCCCCCCCCCCCCCGCTCTGAACTGCTGTTCTGTCAGTGCCCCTCCCCTCCCCCCGCTCTGTTGTATACGTGCCGTGCTGCTGACTGTCATGGCGGACACAGATGCTGAAGTATCGCGAGAACTCGGGTCTGTGGTAATGAAGAACATGTTATCGCGAGAACTTGTTTTATTTAGTAAAGTGACTGAAAACATCTGTTTATAATCAGGGTGGAAATAAAAACAGTGAAGTGATAAAACTTTAGTTGCAGTAAAATGTTTAATTCAGTCTATAAATTAATGTAAAGTTGATCTTTTTCATCACTAATATTTAATTTAATCTTGTTTGTAACATTTAAAGTTTATAAACTTGTTGCAGAGGGAACATGGTGTCCTGACTCTGACACACCTGTAGTTTACCTGCACAGGTTCAGTGTTTCACACCTGTGTGGGTTTAATGCACCCGGTTCTGGTTCCTGTCTGCAGGGTGAGCAGGTCTGACAGGTGGTCTTTAAACTGTGTGGGGGTCAGGCTGTTTACAGGGTCCTGTGGGTCTTAAAGTCTTAATTCAGTCTTTACAATGTGAACACTGTAAGTAGGTCGACTGTAATTTGTGTCAAACATTAGAATAATTAGTAACATTTATTAATTTATTTATTTAATATTCCTGTTCAGATGTTCCTGTGACATCACTTCCTGTTTCACCTGCAAATATCTGAGAAATGTGACATTTATTTTCTAATGTTTTCTTTCCAAACATACCTTCATGTTTCTAACATCAGATGATGTCACAGACACTTTAAGGTTTATCTACAGCAGGGTGGTCCACCCTGGTCCTGGGGGGCCACAGCCCTGCACGTGTTTCCTGATCCAGTCCCTGAACCACCTCTTCATGTTCTGCAGTGTGGAGAACCAACACTGACATCATTAGAAATAAAAACAGAAATAAATTAAACTTTAAATACATTTAAAATGCACCAAATAAACTAAAGGAGAACTTTACCTCATGTTTTAATTTAATTCAGCTTCATTTTTATTTTTCAGCTTAGTTCCAAGAAGTCGTATATTTTAACACATAATTTAAATTTTAATGTTTTAATATAGATTTTATGAAGTTTTACTTGTACATGCACTTGTGTCTCTTGAATGTTTAAACTTAGTTTATTTTTATAATTTTGTCCAACAAGTCTTTGTTTCTGTGTTCATGTTTGTGTTGCTGCAGTTTAGTTTAAAGTTTAATTAAAATAAAAGTACAGGTGATGTTTTAAACTAAACTTTTATCTGAACTGAGGCAACACTTAGAAATAAAGACTGGGGGGGGGATTAATAAGAATTAAAACATTTAAGACTCTCAAATGCATGTACAAGGAAAAACAAATAATATATATTAGAAATGGTAAATTTAAACCGTTCAGATATATAGATTAATTTATTGGAACTAAACCTGGAAAAAATGAAAGTCAACTATAATATAAAACAAGTTTTCTGTTTTTAATGTAATTGTTGAATTTTTTTAAAATATTTATTTATTGGTTCATATAATTCAGTTTATTTCTCGGTGTTGGTCCGTACTGCAGCAGACTGATCACCTGTTCACATCAGGTGTGTTGGAGCAGAGGAACAGGTAAAACCTGCAGGACTGTGGACCACCAGGACCAGGTCTGATCCACAACAAGCTGGGCTTCAGACCCCACTGAGGATTTACAGGAATTAAAGGTTTAAATGCACTTATAACATTTTTATTGGCTATATTTGACAAACAGCAGTTATATATGTATAAAAACAACTTGTGTATTAATATTTGGATACTTCAACCACAATGATGTGAGTTTCTGCCACAGTTTCAGTTTGTTTGTTGTTAAAGTTGTGTTAAAGTTGTGTTGACCTGACATTAAGTGTCTGGTTTATCACAGGCTGCTGACTCACTGTTTACAGCTGATAACAGCTGCTGTCACTCCCTGAACGTTCACAGGTTCCTGAGTTAACTCTGGTCCTGGTCCTCACCAGTCCTACAGGTTTTACTGGTTCCTGCTCCTCAGCAGGTCTTCAGATTAATGACTCGTTAATTCAAACCAGGTGTGTTAAATCAAACCTGTTAAATGACTGCTTTAAATGTTGACCAGACACACCTGAGCTCCATCACATGGTTCTGATGGCTTCATTTAGTGTGTGTGTGTTAATAGAAATGGATTTAGTTGTGTTGATAGAAATGGATTTAGTTGTGTTGATAGAAATGGATTTAGTTGTGTTGATAGAAATGGATTTAGTTGTGTT